AATCACTTATCTCTCACCTGCACATCATCCACTTGGATCACATATGAGTTATTCATGATATATAATAAATTTGATTCAGAAAAGATCTTTGTACACAGTCAGCATCGTGATATATGATATATTAATTGTGTGTACTACAACGTTTCTTCTAGAACAAAAATACCCGTGAGCATGTGTTTGTAAACTCTGTACGTGTCTCGTTAAGATGTGTTTGGTTCAATTGAGGGGAGAGGAGGGAATTTTTTTTATTAATAACCATGTATCAAAAAAATATTTCGTAAATAACCGGGTTTCGGAAAAAATTACGCAAATAACCATGTTTGAGATGGCTCCACAAAGGAGGAGCCATCTCAATTGGCGCATGCACCTCTTTTTTTAAGGGAGGCTCCATCTCACTTGGCGCCTAAGTGCTTAGGGCAAGCCCTAAGACAAGTGAGATGGCGCCTATGTACAAAATTAGGGTAAAATTTTTTTTTTTTATTTTCTTTCCTGTGCGTTGCCTATTAGACAGAGATCCACAAAATGGATTTTTTATTTTAAAAAAAATAATTACATTCAACTGTTTTACATTAATTGAACAGTAAAAAAAATGGATACAAAAAATACTGGGAAAAAAAAAGATACATCAGTGATCCCCCGGAACCCGGTAATGACCCCCGGTTCCGCATCCCCGTCCTCGCCTTTCTCTTGCTGGGTGCCGTCGCGTTTCCTGCTGCGGCAAGGTTGATGGCCCAGTGAAGTCAATGCGATCCGAATCCATAAAATCAGTAAGATCTCCATATCTCGAAGATCCGCTCTGGTACAGTCGGTTACCCATACCCTCAAAGTTTGGTCGTGTTGGCGGTGGGTGGGGTTCCATGGTTGGTCGGTAGCATTGGTCGTCTGAGTATGGGGGGTAGAAAGGAAATGGATATTGGGGTGTTTGGTATTGTGGATGTTGGGTTGTTTGGTGATATGGTGGTTGATGGTAGGTTTGGTCGGCTTGGTCATAATCTTCTGACATTCCCATATCAGGGCTAAGGCTGGATGTTGAGGGCGCCATATTGGGATATGTGGAAGACTGAAATTGTGTCTGGGGTATGTGGGTGTGCTGGTATTGGGGTTGGTATTGTGGTTGGGTTTGAGGCATATCCGGGTATTGGTAGTTTGGTGGCGATTGTGGTTGGTAGTACGACATTTGATTGTAGTTGTGTTGTGGTGGGGAATGTGGTTGTGTGTTTGTTGGTCTGTTTCTTCTTGGGGGTTGGTTTGAGGTTGATGGATTTTGGGTTTGTTGATGGGGAATCGAGGGTTGTGCCCATTGTGTGCGTGGGTCAACCAAGTACCTCGGATGAGACACGTGCATTTCTGGGTTACTAACCGACCTGTACCACGATATATATTGATCAGTGTGTCGCATGTTACCTTGAGTAAGGAAAACCGGGGATTGCAAGATGTAGCGGTGACGCCTTTGCCACATTTTACACCATTCCGGAGCGAAGTCTTTCCAGTTGGTAAGACCCCACTCGGCGTCGACCCTTTTTAGATGCCAGGGGGACAAATCTGTTGGATCACTTGGTATCTCTTGATGCATTCCGAACTGCATCTTCACACGGTCGCTGTGGTACATCTCCACAATGTTGAACCGAATGAGTGCAGTCTTTGCAGTCCAAGTTGCTGCATCCTCTGGGTTTGGAGAATGGCCCAAACCCAAATATGGTCTCCAGACGAACTGCGATAAAATTTAAATGAGGTTAGCGCAAAAGTAATGTATATATAATTAAAATGAACAAAAGTGAAAAGCTACGACGTACGTCATCTGGGCCTAAGTGATCCAACAGATTCCGGTAGAGTGCGACATTGAATCTTGGATTCTTGCCATAATCCATACCCCTCACGCAGTACCTAAAGGAAATGAGAAACATGTTATTTTTAGCATATATTTTGGAAAGAGCAGAATATTTATAAATGCTATAACTTAATGACTTACTTTGTTGCGTACGGGAAACCAAAAGTGTTGTTGTTGATGGGGTTTAAGGACTCCATCCTCCACCAACCCCAGGCTTGTAGTAAAAATGCGCACCCATAAAATGTACATTTTTCCTTGACTGCGTTTTTGCACAAGGAACTGTACAGGTGGGCTAATACTGTACAGGGTATGCCCAAGATGGTAGTCTACTACATGGCAACGGAATATTCAGTCGCGTGTTTTGGGCATTTCAACCATGCATCACAGGGTTTGCATCATGCAAACCAATTCTACAAATTGACGGGACTTGGTTGTATGGGAAGTACAAAGGCACGCTTTTGATGGCAATTGCACAAGATGGCAACAATAACATTTTCCCCGTTGCGTTTGCCCCTGTCGAGGGGGAGACCGGTGATGCTTGGAGCTTTTTCCTGAAAAATCTTCGTACACACGTGGCTCCTCAACCAGATCTCTGTTTGATCTCGGACAGACATGCCTCCATTGAAAGTGCCTATAATAATCCAGCAAATGGTTGGCATGACCCTCCTTCTACACATGTCTATTGCGTCAGGCATATCGTCCAGAATTTCTCGAGGGAGGTCAAGGACAAAACATTGAGGAAAGCGGTGATGAATGCGGGATACGCACTGACACAGCCCACATTCAAATATTACCACAACGAGATCCATTTGTCTAACCCAGAAGCCGGTACGTGGATCGACAATATACCGGTCGAAAAGTGGACTAGGTCATACGACAATGGCCAAAGATGGGGGCATATGACAACAAATCTTATTGAATCAATGAATGGGGTATTCAAGGGCATACGAAACCTCCCCATCACTGCCTTGGTGAAATCCACGTATTTTAGGATGGCTGCGTTATTTGCCAAAAGAGGTGAAATGTGGTATGCGGTCTTGCAATCAGGACAACTATGGAGTGAAAGCTGTATGAAATACATTAAGGCTGAAAGTGCTAAAGCCAACACTCACATGGTTACACGGTTTGACCGCCATAGCCACAACTTCATTGTGAAAGAGACAATCGACCACAATGAAGGCCTGGCAAGACAAGAATACAGGGTCATTTTACCTTCTCAATGGTGCGATTGTGGCAGGTTTCAAGCTTTTCGTATGCCTTGCTCTCATGTCATTGCCGCTTGTCTTCATACCCATCAAGACGCGCTTCAACTGCTCTCACACGTTTATAAATCTGAAACGTTGCTCACTGTTTACAACAACAACTTTCCTTTGGTGGCAAAACCGGACTATTGGCCTGAATACAACAGCGATATAGTTTGGCACAATGACCAAATGCGAAGGAACAAGAAGGGTCGTCCCAAAAGCAGGCGCATCACAACAGAAATGGACGATCTTGACAGGTTGGAAAGAAAGTGTGGTTTATGCCGTCAGGTCGGACACAATCGCAAAAACTGTCCGAATCGGGCGTCTGGCTCGACCACATAAATTTTGTAATACAATAAATCTTTTCAATATTTGTGTTGTAAACATTATGGGTTTTCCGTTAATAAAACTGTTAACACAATTTAAGAAATTCAATATAGGAAATTAGGAAATTACATTAGGGTTTTCGCGTACAACAATGATTAACGATATTCAATCTAGGAAATTACAACTGTTAACACAATTTCATCTGACCCATGCATCATCAGCATTACATCACTGTCTGTTTTGACTTCCTCCAACCACACATTAGGTCTTCCTGTCGCATGCGAGGTTGTTGTTCGTTTTCGCTGGATCCTTCGAATTTTTTCCCCCTCCGCGATGTCTCCATCTAGCCACCGCATCAACTCCCGCTTCAGACGCTCCATGGAGTGAATGTGCCAAAATTTCATTTTCATCGCAGGTTTCGTGGCAGAGAATATAACGTAACCATCTCTGCTAAAAATCATAGGCGACGTCATTACGTAAATAAGGGAGTACAAAATAAAAATACAGTGCAAGAAAGTGTGAGAAATTTCAAAGAAACGGACGAATTATTTATAAAACAGCAAAAAACCCTAGTTTTGCCCTAGGCGCCAAGTGAGATGGCGCCTCCTCTCATTTTTAAGGAGCATGCGCCATCTCACTTGGCTAAAAGACAAGGGAGCCGCCAAGTGAGATGGCGCCTAGGGCAAAACCCTAGGTGCATGCGCCAATTGAGATGGCTCCTCCTTTGTGGAGCCATCTGAAACATGGTTATTTGCGTAATTTTTTCCGAAACCCGGTTATTTGCGAAATATTTTTTTAATACATGGTTATTAATAAAAAAAATTCGAGAGGAGGGGAGGTATTTTTATCAAGGGGAGGAAAGGTGATGGGAAGGGAGGGGAGAAATTTTAATTACATATATATTTGTTTCAAAATATAAAAGGGAAGGAGAGAGAAGACATTTTATTTACAAATATGTTTGATTCATAAGAGGACGACAAATATTTTAAAACTAAATTACTTTTTTATTCTTATAATTTCACCACAAATCTTAAAATATTTACTTTTTATAATTCAAATACAACTTTATTGACAAACATAAGAATTCAATAAAAAATATCATAAATTTTTTTATAAAAACATAACGATTATAATATAATATAATTTTAAAAAATTATCGAATACAATAAAATATAAAAAAAATTATTATATATAAAAATATTACAGTAATTAAAAGTAACATTAAAATATATGAAATAAAATAAAAAAATTTAAATATTAATAATAAGACGAAGATATAAAAATATAAAAAATATAAAATAAAGATAAAATTTGTTTAAAATATATTTTTAATATTTTAATAAATTAAATTTGTATTTAAAAATAATAAAATTAAATATATAAATATAATTATAATTAACACTTCCTCTCCCTTTCCAAATTCTCCCAAATCGAGAGAAACAAAAAACGACTTAGAAGAGAATTTGGTCTCCTCCGTCAACCTAACCTCCCCTCCCTCCTCTTAAAATTTAAACCAAACATATAAACTATTAAATATCTCCTCCTACTCCCCCTCCATTTACCCAACAATAAACCCTTAGCAATTCTAGTGGAAGCACTCGATGGCACAGCCTAACGCCACCACCATCGACCCAAACTCCGGTTTCTCCCCTCATTCTAGAATCTTCCATAGCCTCCGTCCCAACGTCCCTCTCCCTCCACCTTCTCTCCCTCTCTCCCTCACCGAATACGCACTCTCTCTCATCCCTACCACCGCCCATGAAAAAAACATCGCCGCCGTCATTGACTCCGCCACCGATAACCACCTCTCTTACTCCACCTTCATCCGCCAAATCAAATCCCTCGCCTCATCTCTCCAATCACACACCTCTCTCTCCAAAGGCCACGTCGCATTAATCCTCACTCCTACTTCCATACACGTCCCCGTACTCTATTTCTCCCTCCTCTCCCTCGGCGTCACCATCGCGCCTGCTAACCCGCTCAGCTCCCAATCTGAGTTAACTCACATCGTTCATCTCACAAAACCAGTCATCGCATTCGCATCTTCCTCAACCGCTTCCAAAATCCCCAACCTCCCTTTCGGCACAGTCATACTCGATTCTCCTTCGTTCCTTTCCATGCTCGATTCCAACTCCGAGCCTCAGCGAGTCGAAACGAGTCAATCAGACACAGCTGCGATTCTCTTCTCTTCAGGAACCACCGGACGAGTTAAAGGCGTGTTGTTAACTCACCGTAACTTCATTGCATTGGTCGGAGGGTTTTGTTTTCTGAAGCATGTTTACGATGACGGCCTTGAAAATGAACCGCATGCTGTGTCGCTGTTTCCGCTTCCGCTTTTTCACGTTTTTGGATTTTTCATGATGGTGAGGGCTTTGGCTTTGGGGGAGACTCTGGTGTTCATGGAGAGGTTTGATTTTGAAGGAATGTTGAAGATTGTGGAGAAGTATAGGGTTGTTTATATGCCGGTGTCGCCGCCGTTAGTTACGGCGTTTGCTAAGTCGGATTTGGTGAAGAAATATGATCTTAGTTCGATTCGGCTGTTGGGGTGTGGTGGCGCGCCGCTTGGTAAGGAAGTTGCGGAGAGTTTCAAATCAAAATTCCCTAATGTTGATATTGTTCAGGTAACATACTTACTTTACCTTATTTTTAAAATGAGATTACATGACAATGTGATTTCGAAGGTTTGAATCCGCAGTCATGTTTTGTTGAGAGGTTATGTAAAAAAATGACTCGGTTATGAGGTATTGGGACCACCACCATAACTTTTGTGCTTCTAGGCTTACTAAAAAAATTGTCACCGACACAGTTTTTGTGATTAGTTTATGTTTTGAGTTTAATTAGGGTGCTCAATAGTGTAATTATATCACGTATTGTTATGCCAATTATAGAACATTTAACGTTTTTGGTTATATAATTATGGAACCTATTATAGAAACATTGGAATTTTGTTTGTTTGATTCAAGTGTATGGAGCAGTTGACTTTTTTATTATATCATTGTAGAACTTTTTTTAACATATAATATGCCAAAGAGATGTATTTGTTGTTTGAGTAAAAGATGTGTAGAATTAAACTGGCAGAACGAATAAATATGTATTTTTAATAATGTGATTCTACTTGTAGGGCTATGGTCTTACTGAAAGTGGAGGAGGGGTAGCGAGAATGATAGGTTTTGATGAGGCTAAGCGCCATGCTTCTGTGGGTCGACTAGCTGAAAATATGGAGGCTAAGATAGTTGACCCTGTTACTGGAGAGGCATTATCTCCTGGCCAAAGAGGGGAGCTTTGGATTCGAGGACCGACAATCATGAAAGGTGATTAGTAACACTTGCAGCTTAGTAACACTAATCTATTGCAAGGCCGGATACCAAAATTTCAAAAAAATAAAATCTATTGCAAAATCTAAATAAAGTTTGTGCGTTTCTCCATTTATAGGCCCTATTGCTTTTGCATTGCATGATGTTCTGCAATGCAGTGAAGATGTGCATTTGCCTCATGTTTTAAAATGCATGGGTAGAGTTGTGAATGTGAAAGTTGACATAACCTTACAATGAGATAATTAAAGATGATATCAGTAGATTTGACAGATTCATATATAATGTATTCAATACCAAAATACCTTGCTCTATTTTCTTTGTCTCTCACGTAAGTTCATTGACTAGAGTTCTTATATGTTCGCTCCTTTGTGTACCCTCATTGCCAATCTCGTACATATGATTGCTAACAAATATATCAATTTATTGCTAAGCAATATATGAAAGATCAATCATGTTTTTGACCAAATGCAGTTGATATAGCTAGAGATATCTAATCTGTGGTTATTATGGTGTCAGTGCAGGTTACGTAGAAGATGACAAGGCGACTGTTGAGACATTGGATTCAGAGGGATGGTTGAAAACTGGCGATCTATGTTATTTTGACTCGGATGGTTTTCTATTCATTGTAGATAGATTGAAGGAATTGATCAAATACAAAGCTTATCAGGTGAAGCATTGTGAAGTGAACAACGCATGCCACATTCTTTTGCCGATACCATTTTATTAGCTTTACATTTTTCTTGTTATTTTTCAGGTTCCCCCAGCTGAATTAGAACACATACTTCTTAGTAATCCTGAAATTGCAGATGCCGCAGTAGTTCCGTATGTACCTTCTGCTTTAATCTACTCCGTTTCAATTTGAAAGCAAAGCCAAAATTGTTTTCAATACTTTCCAAATTCCAGTTCATGTTCATGTGGAAGTCATATAAATCAGTTTTTTTATGCGCTCCCAAAAAAAAATGTTGATGTAACTCACTTGCTTTAACAAAGTACATGACTATGTCTATTAGAAGGTTCACTAAATCTACTACTACTAATCTTTTGGGGACAGGTATCCTGATGAAGATGCTGGACAGATTCCAATGGCTTTTGTGGTAAGAAAGCCTGGAAGCAACATCACTGAAGCTCAGATCATGGACTATGTGGCAAAGCAGGTGCGTGTTCGGCAGATATTTGGTGAATGAATTATCCATTGAGTCTGTCATATCTCAACTAAACTTACTAAAGTTACTATTGCTTCTTAGTGAATATTAGGATTGGCGGTGAGTTAAGCAAAATTACGGGCCACTTTGATTTTGTTGATGCTCCAAAATGTAGTTTTTCTTTTTCCTTCAAAATTACATTGGCACGTCATGATTCTATCAAATTCACTAGATAGTCTCAACTCTGAAGTGATATTTGAACTATAAATGCTATTAGTTGGAGGATTTTATATATGATATATAAATATAAATAAGAATGAAGAGTGAGCTTTATTTACCATTCAATGCCACAGCTTGTACAATTGACTTTGTTTAGACCCTGTTATAATTTTTTAATTTGATTCTTGTCATGTTTTAAGTATGCTTATTATTGTTGCAGGTGGCACCATACAAGAAGATAAGACGTGTTTCTTTTATTAACTCTATACCAAAATCTCCGGCAGGCAAAATTTTAAGAAGAGAATTAGTGGCTATCGCTCTAAATAGTGGTTCATCCAAATTGTGATCAGGATAACAATGGAGTCAAAGCTGCACTTAACGCATGCAACATTTTTTTTATATTTTTTTTCACCGTGAGACTTTTTTATTTGTAAAAAAGTCAAACTATATTAACTCAAATTTTGGTGATGAACCCAAGAACATCAAAATTTATAAGAAACTGCAAATAAGAAAAAACATGTTCAACAAAAGTTACATAGAAAGGGACAATATGATTGCATTGTTCCAACATACTAGATTCATTTCACAAGGAGCAAAGTAAATGAAGAAAATTTCTATGCAATTCCTATAATTCTCTTAGAAATTAAAAATATATTTTTTCGGTGCGCGTGCACATACACATAATTTATTTTATAATTTATTTCGAAAATACATTTTTGAGAATTCATATCGTTCGCTTTTTCCTTAGTAGAATCTGGAAAATTGCTCAACCCCTTTCTCATCGTTGATAAAAAAAGACGATTTCCTATTTTAAGGAGAGATTTCTAAAGAATGCATGTTTAATTTCCAAATGCTCTTGAATACCTCATACCCCATTGGCAATTGCATTGATTTTAAAACATTCATTTTGTTATTGTGTATGTTAGTAACAAATATATCAGATCCAGAAGTATATTTCTGGATATTTCCACAAGTGTATTTTCGAAATAAATTTGAAATAAATTTTATCGTAAAATAGTGTGAATCTTAAAAATGAATGAATTATGTGTGTGAGTGTGCATCGGAAATATATTTATAATTTTCAGAAATATTTTTGAAATTTCGCTTTGTGCGCTAGAAGAAGAAAAAACCCTCAAATAAATAGTATTATTTCAATATCTATTATAGTTCTATCTCAGTCACTCATTTTAATTTAATATAAAAAATCATTCATTTAAATTTAATATAAAAAATCATCAATACTAATTAATGTTAAATGGTTAAGATTAGAGCGGTAAAAAAAATATGAGAGAGAAGAGAGAAGAAGGAGAGAAAAGAAAATTCGTCAGAACTCACCTCAAGAGTAAAAGTGTTAATCTGGTCTTGTAGGATACCATCATAGGCGGAAGAACTCGTAAGAAATCATTGTATGTATTGTCAACATTCTTTTTGAGGATTCTTCTTGGTGGTTTAGACATGAGCAGTGTTGCCGTAATAGGACCACTTGTTTTTCGGTAGCTTTCAATTGAATTTAAATTTTCTCTACCCTGGTGTAGGTTAGATCAGTGTTCGTATTGTGATTAAAAACTAGATTGCTACGGTCTCTCTTAAAATAACAACACCGAATAGTAACTTGCATGGAAAAACCTTATTGCCAATTTTATTGAATGTGGGATTCCATTCAAACCAAGCAAAAATTCTGAGGCTAAAAAAAACTTTTGAGTATGATTTATATTATTGAGAGATAGCTCGGGGACTTCAGGAGCATTATGGTAAACTAGTTCTTAGTATATTATACTAACTCTAACCCATTCTAATTCATTAAATAGAAAAAAAAACAATTGTAATTGTTTTAGAGATGAAGAGGTAGATATTATTGGTCGAACTATATTAACGAAGATCGGTTATATTTATGGTATTTTACTTTTGTTTCTTCTTATTCATTTATACGGGATGTTGTTTTAACAACTGGTATAAGATAATGATTAACTCTAATGTGAAATTCGAAGTAATAAGGTTCGATAGGACATGTAATATCATATTATAGTAAAAGAGGGTTAATGATCTATTGGCTCAACGAAGTTTAAAGGAGGCGTTGTGTGAGACGAAACCGAACATGAAAGTTATCGATTGGACAAAGTTGAAGAAGAAGACTGCAAGATTGATTCGTTTATGTATGTTAGACGAGGTGATGTATCTTATAGATCTGACGATGTCGAAGGAGATTTGAGATAAATTAGAGAGTTAATATTGTGTTAAGGTAACTGATTTCTAGTATTTGATTATGCACGTTTAGTGGCCATTACAATTACATTTACATGGTGCCATCCGAGTGGTCGATATTCTTAACAATCCCAGTCCAACAAGGTTCGATACAAGCAAGAAGAAAGATGAATCATCGACTAACTTTTAGATGGATGTAAGTGATAAAGAGATAGATTGCGGGAATATATAGACTTCAAAACTCAATTGCACCTTAATATAAGTTATTCACAAATTGTAAGAGCAATATTTGTCACCTTAAAACTCTATTGCACCTTAAAACTCTCATGTATATTCTGTAGAAAAACAAAATATTTATTTAACAGTAAAATAGTATTAATAAAGGTTATGCTATAGACCGTGAAATGCATGGGTTGTAGGTTGTCAGTGATTGGGTTGGAAAAGTGAAAAAACATATCTCTAAGATGGAATATATATATATATATATATATATATATATATATATATATATATATATATATATATATATATATATATATATATATATATATATATATATATATATATATATATATATATATATATATATATATTAAAAACTGTTCTGGACTGGGTCCGGCTGGCCCAATAACAACGATAATGGCCCAACCCAAACGGACTTACTAGGGGTCACGCCGATCTAAGGACCATAGCTATGCCCGACACACGTCACTGGGCGACACCCCCGTCCTCGTATTGTCCAGCTCGACATCAGCTCGAGCGCTCCTTTGCCAGTGGACACGACCCACTGCACTCTCAACGGGACTCCGAAAAGACCGCGTCCCTGTCTGCCCGCACTTCACGCAGAACATCCAGGGAGGGGACCACGTGCAGGTCCCCACTACGCACGTGGAACCTGGCAGTTCCTCCATTGGGCCAAACCTGCCCGACCCAATGAAGGAACCTTGGCCCAGCGCTGGGGGCTATAAATACCCTCTGTTCCCAGAGGGTCAGGTATTCATCATTCTACCCATACTCCTACTATTGCCTGCTCGTGCTCTTACTTACTTCAGCATCGGAGTGTCTTGTAGGTACCCCCTCACCTCGTTCAAAACTTCAGCTCGGAGCCAGCCGTGACGGTCCAAGTCTGATCAGGTTAGATCAGTGGCGCTGTCTGTGGGAAACTAGCTTCCCCGTCTTGCAAACTTAAAGACCAAAGCTCAAATTCAACTACCGCTGTCATGGCTGATCAAGCTCGCGAGGAGCAGAACATCCGCGTCGCCGACACCAACAACAGCACCGCGGACAAAAACGGACATCTTGATAACGCCGGCAACCCCGGCCATAACACCATTCCTGCGACAACTGCTCCCGGAAGTTCCACCTTTCGAGACGGAGCTACTGCATCATCTTCCTCGCTCCCACCACCACTCGAAGACGACCCGGCGGCCCTCGCGCACTACAGAGCCGCCCGGTTCCAAGAAGTCCCCGTCCCCTCCGGGGCGGATGCCACAACACAAGCGATGTTCGCAGCAATTAATCAAACAAACTATCTCATCTTCGCCCAAGGAGAGAGACTAAAGGCGCTTGAAGACGAGCGAAGACCCCCAAGGAGGCATCGGAGACCACATACCCCCCCTCCTCGAGTGACTGAAGCTCGACATCCATCTCCCCCGCGGAGACATTACAGGGAGACCTCTCGAAGCCAATCTCCCTGGCCAAAACATAAACGGCCTTATCTGGAGAGGCAGCCCATCATTCAGGCCGGAGAACCCAGTCGTGACCCGGCGACACTAGAAAGAAGGCACTCTGGAGATGGGCGTGTGAAATTCAACCACCGAGCATCCCGCTCGAGAGAGACTCAGCACGACCTGGACCGTCGTGCCAGACAATATTACAGGTCCCCATCTCTGTCTCCGGAGAGAAGCGACGAGGATGACCCCCGCGGTCCCCTGTCACAGGCTATTATGGAGGCACCCATCCCCCCGGGCATGGAGAAGCCCCCTCACTTGAAGGAGTACGATAGAGTCGCGGACCCGGTCGACCATATAGACGGGTTCGAGGCTATGCTCCATTATCACAACGTCGGGGGCCCCATCAAGTGCCGTCTATTCCCCACGACTCTCCGGAAGGCGGCAATGGACTGGTACAAAGGACTCGCCTCGGGCTCAATCACCTCGTGGAGGAACCTGAAGAACCAGTTCATCAGTTCCTTCACAGCTTCTCGGCGGCACCCGAAGACCGAGGCGGCTCTCGAGGCCATCATCCAAAGATAGGATGAAACCTTGAGGGAATTCATCAACCATTTCAATCGAGAAGCAATACAGATCCCCTGTGCGGACCATATGAAAAGATATTTGTTGGAGAGAGGGCTCCTCCCTGGCACGGAGTTCAGAAAGGCTGTGGGTATCGAGCCACCTCGGACATTCGATGCCCTCCTCGAAAAAGCCCGAGCATACATGGACTACGAGGAGAGGGAAGCGGCCAACAGAGCCCAAGATTCCAGGACTCGTGGTCCCAACAGCAGCTCGCGCCAAGAAGCTCCTCCTCGACGAACCGGGGAGAAAAGGAAGGAAGACAGGCCCCGGGAAGTCCGGGAACAAAGAGGACCTTCAGGGCGTTTCACCGAGTACACTCCGCTCACAGCTTCCCGCGAGCGCATTATGGCGGAGTGTGCCAGCACTGATTTCAAGGACGGCGGTGTCAAACGTCCCCGACCTGCTCCCGCCAAGCCCGGAGCAAACAAAAACAAATATTGTCAGTACCATAGGAGCCATGGTCACCTGACTGAGGATTGCGTCCATCTCAAGGACGCCATTAAAACCCTCATCAAGGGAGGGAGGCTCGCATAGTACCGGCGAAACAACGCTCCCCGTTGTGACGCCCAAGAAACCAGGGAGCCAGAAGAAGACGCCCGACCATCTGACGAGTCGGTGCCCATCCAAACTGCCTTCTCCGTGACCAGGCCCGAGGACTTCGACTTCCCTGAGCACCTGCAGGAGCCGCTTACAACGCACAGCAGGTGGGAATACTTCCCCTCCGCCCTGGTCATCAACGGCAGCGGGTTCAACGACTTGAACATCAATTCAGCCAAGAGGAAGCTGGACGAGTTGGTCGACGCGGCTCCCCCGCAAACAGTGACGTTCGAAAGGGTGAAGGGCAGGT